GCAGCGATGACGGACACAGCGACCAACACCGGGGTGGAATTCCAGACGGATTCCGGCTCTGGGAAGGGCGGGAGGGTGAGCAGGGGGAGGGTTACCCCCATCCCGCTGTCCCACACTCCCAAATTCCTCGTTCCCACATGCCCAGTTGCCACATTGCCCGTTCCCAGGCTCACCCCAGGCGAAGATCCCGGGCTCCGGCATTCCGGTGTGCTCCACCCGGCACCGGTACTGCTCCCGCTCCCCCGGCAGCGCCTCGATCCTGGCCCAGCTGTGGAAGGTGCCGTCGCTGTTGGGAACGATCCCGCCCCACTCCGTCTCCTGATCCCGGATTTCATCCCTCTTCATCCAGTTGATCCCGATGATCCCGGGGTAGAATCCGTACGCGTGGCAGGACAACGTCAGGATCCCGTGTTCCTCTTTCCCGGACACGTGGACATCAGGGGGCTCTGGAATGGTATAACAGTGAGATCCATCCATGGAATTCCCATGGGACTGGGACAGCAGTGAGATCAATCCACAGAATTCCCATTGGAATGGGATAAGGGTGAGATCCAGCCATGGAATTCCCATGGGAATGGGATTGGAGTGAGATCCAGCCATGGAATTCCCATGGGAACGGGACAACAATGGGATCCATCCATGGAATTCCCATGGGAGTTGGATGACTCAGATTCATCCATGGAATTCCCACGGGAATTCCTGTGTTTCTCAGTGTTGTGGTTTTGCCCAACAGCCAGCCCCTGGGTCTGAGGATAGTTTTGTCCAGGTCGACTTCTGGAGAAAAAGCCAATCAAAAGTTTTAGTAATGCCTCTGCCAAGGACATATTTAAGAAAATGGAAGAGAAGGTGGTTGCACAGTTAAAATGAGGAGCCATGTAGGGAGTGGTGTCAGGCCCCAGGTAGGGGCCAGGCCTCCCTCCTTCTTCGGCCCTGGGCCGGGGGCAGGTGTGGCACTGAAGTCCCCCTTCTCTCCTGTAGGAGAGTAGAGAAAAACAAACTTCAGAGAAGGATTGACTGCCTGGACAAGAAACGCTGCAGAAGGAATTCCAGCAGAGAGATAAGGGACCTCCAAGGTCAAAGCTGGCAGCAGCAGGAGAGAGAAGTTTGAAGGGCAGGGGGGTTGCTTCTCCCCCCTCTCTCACTCTCTTCCTTCAGCAGGGAAAAGCCTGAAAACTAAAATCCCTGCCACCTGTGGAAGTTTATTGGGACAAAGAAATCCCCATGCAAGCTCATAGAGGAGCCTACACTGAAGTCAGTAGATGCATGATGAAAGCTGAGACTTTGTCAAAGGACTGAAATGAAACAGAGTCCTGCTGGAAACTTTTAGGTCATGGAGAGAGACTTAAACTAGAGCAGAATGGCTCGGGTAAGATGTTGGGATCCGAGTGAGATCTGTGCTAGTGCAGCTAAATTTGTGACCTTAAGAGAGACCTATGCTGGAGCAGAACAGCTCGGGTAGGCCTAAGGTCTCGGTGAGAGATCTGTGCTGGTGCTGAAGATTTGTGACCCTGAGAGACAGCAGAGAATGCAGGAGCTGTTGTCCGAGAAGTGGACTCACGTCAGAGAGGTCTATCAAGGACTGTTCTCCCGAGGGAAGGGACCCCATAGGAAACAGGGGTGGACTCAAAAGCCATTATCCCTTCTGACCCTGTGGGGAAGATCCATGGTAGGCAAGTGTCCCCTTGCAGTCCATGGAAGACCCTTCAGGGCCTGGGTAACCCCCCAGCCTCTGGTCTTAGCCCAGGAGGGGGGTAGGCCCAGCCTTGAGGCCGACATAGAAGAGAGAGAAAAAGAGAAACAATTCCAGCTGCAATTGGAGTTGTCATCTTAGAGATAACAGAAGAAAAACTTTAGAGTGCTGCAAAATTATTTAAAAGACCTGGATCTCCAAAAATGGAGAAAGAGACTTCTCCTCCTAAACTGACACAAAGGGGGGAGGGGTATTTTCTGTAAATACATAGCATTTTTACCTAATTAGAATTGTTGTAGATATAGTTCTTTAGTTTTTATCTTGCTAGCAATAAATCCTAATATTATTCTCCCCGATCAGGTCTCTTTTGTCTGCATAAACGTTCTCTCAATTTATAGTAATTGTGTGTGGGGTGAGAAAAATTAGCCCAAAGCAAAACCACGACACTCAGTTCCACCCTTCCAAATCCCACATTCCCAAATCCCATATTCCCATGGGAATTCTGTCTCCCTCACCTTTGCGCTCCAGCGCCTCCTGCCCGTATCCAACATATTTCCGGAGCCATTCCGGACAGATGTTCCCCAGGTAATTGGTCAAATGGTCCACCATGATCCCATCGTGTTCCCATTTCCTCTTGGTGATCTGGGCAGCTCCATCGGCTGCCACGAAGCTCCCGGATCCCAGCTCGAAGGAGATGAAATCCTGCCCGTCAAAGCCGTACCGACTGGACCCACGGACGCTCCTGTCAGACAGGAGGTCACAGCCATAAAGCCGTTGCCATGTGTGGAGACCTGGGGGGTGGGATCAGACCCACAGAGACCCCTGGAATTGTGTCCCAGCCCCACGGAGCCCCATTCCAGCCCTATGGAGTCCCAGAGTCCAATGGAGACCCATAGATCCCATCCCAGCCCTTTGGAGTGCCCTGGATCCCCATCCCAGCCCCACACATCCCATTCCAGCCCCACAGATCCCATCCCAGCCCCTTGGAGTGCCCTGGATCCCCATCCTGGCCCCACATATCCCATCCCAGCCCCACATATCCCATCCCAACCCCACACATCCCATCCCAACCCCACACATCCCATCCCAGCCCCACACATCCCCCCATTCCCCAGCTCCCCCCACTCACGCCCACTCCAGTTGTACCAGCCCCGCTCCGCTCTCTCCAGGTCAGCAACAGCCACGATCCGGCTCCCCTCAGCATTCTGGGTCTGTCTATCCCAATATCCTGGCTCAGGTCCAGCCGCCATCCACGGTGTCTGCGGCTCCATCCGGCGCCTCTCGCTGTCGTAGCGAACG